TTCAAGGTCGGTCCTAATCGTTTACTATTTTCGAAAAGTTTTTAAGCGACCTCCCGTCCCAAACTTAACAAAAGTCCGACCCCGTCAAATTGCATTCTTGTAGCAAAATAGGTCTGACGTGCCTCCTTATTCTGTGGTCTCTTCCTTTCTTCCAAAGTGACTCTCTACTCAGTACCAGTATTGCCTTCCAAAGAGGAATCCCTGGTGTGAGAATTAGCCTGGATAGATACCTTTATACCCCACACATACTGTACACTACTGATTCCACAGGATGGAAATCAATTCTCGATTGATCGAGCAAGTTTCGGCGTGAGATTCCCGAAATGAATGGCGAGAATTGAAGCGTAAAATGAAGAGCACAAAACTGACATTTGCAGCTGATGGCAAGAGATTGATTGCGTTTTGATGAGAAGAAAACTGCCCATGCCGCGAAGCTGGGAAATCACCGCTACGGCCCGCCTCCCTCATCGCTCCATGGACACCGCCCTCGAGTCGGCTTTCCGCAATGTGACATAATGAATGAGCATGGACGCAGCTGTTTGGCACACTTACAGCCACGCAAACGGCTAGAAGACAAGTTGATGGATGAGTAGGCGATCCAGTGAGGATGACCGATAACTGCGGTGGTTGAGATTCGCTCCTAAGTTATGTTAAAGTTCGCTATGAGCAAAATAAGCCCTAATGCAAGGTCCGTGGATGAACTTCTAAAAAACGTCTGGCCATCAACGAACCCTCTGAATTAACTGGCTACTCATCTAAAAGGGCAAGTATTTCCATAGGCTAGCCTTGACATGTGATGGTGGCCAAACGCCCATGCAAATGCCAGGGTTGTTATACCTGGAAAGCGAAGACATGGCGCATCCCAGACTATTGTTGATCAATGTTAGGCGCTTCGTTTCCGGTTATTAGGAACTGTGCTAGTGCAGTGAACGTCAGCATTTCAGAACTTTTGGGAAAGGGATGTAGCTGACATGAGTTGGTGCTCCACGCATCCTAGGATTGTGGCACTTTTGAATGAGTGGTCAAACTGCCGACGATATGATCCGACTATCAAGCTTT